CTTCAGGGTTTTCAGACACATCTTACCAGTCCTGCTAGTTTAATGCATGTTTGAAAGTTAATTTCTCATTAATATTTAAAAAAGAAATGGCTTCAGAAAAAAATTTTTAAATCCATTTTATTTTAGAAATACATTATTGGCATTATTTTCAATACAAGGAATGATAATGTCCAGGATTGGCTTTTAAAACTGTTAATGAGCCCTGGCAATGTGAAAAAGATATGGATTAGGTAGATGTAATGAGATATGATTAAAGGGTGCAGGCACTGAAGGGTGTTGGAGAAATTCTATTCAGAAAGCATATAATTAGTGTCTGATAAAAGTACTTAGTAGATAAGATTTTTGAAGAAGAAAGGTTAAGATAAACACATACTTTATGACAAACCTGCTTAATTTTTCCCCTTTGGTTCTCTTACATACTCAATATTATGTTGAAGTTTCATACATAAATAATGTTTGTCGAGTACTTGATGCAATTCTACCAGACAATTAGAGTGTTTTAATTGCCAGACAGGAGAGAAGAAAATGTGTTGAAACATCTTGTTCCGTTTTCAGTGTACATTTCTTTGTTGATTTATGTAATGTAGCTAATAATATGCAACCTACCCAGGTTTTAAACAAACAAATGAACTTCTAAAAAGCAAGCTTCCCATAAGTTGCTAAGCAACTCCAAAGGCACATCTTATTAATTTAATAAATAACATTTAGATGATGACAAATCCTTAAGGAAGATTTCTAACTTCGTTTTATAAAAAGAGAATCCAAACAGGTACCCTTCTGATTTTTCTTGTTTCTAAGGCCTCAGGGGTTGGCAAAGCTACTGGCATATTCAGAATTATATTAGTCTCACTAAGCAAAACACTTCTTTGACTGAAATTGTTGCCATAATAGAAGTTAAGACCTGGGACTCAGTGCAGCTCTCTAGACTTGGAGTTCATGCTGCGTTCCCATAACTGAGGGTTTTTCAAGCTCCAAACAACTGACATTTTGGACATGATAATTTGTCATCGTAGAGGTCTGTCCTGTGAATTTTAAGATGTTCAGCAATATACCTGTCCTGTCCTCTATCTACTAGATGTCAATAGTGGCCCCACAGGTGCTGTAACTAAAAAATGTCTCCAGACATTGTGAAAAGTCTTCCGAGGGACGGAAGGGACAAAATCATCCCAGTTGAGAACCACTGCAACTACATAATGGGTAGATATGCTAAATGCAAAAAACATATCTAGAGGTTAACTGGTGATGATATTTTGTGGTTACTCTCCATCTCTCAATGTCTAACATCCCCTGTCACTAACAATAATGAAGAATAAGGGGGCAGTACTGATTCCAGGAGTACTCTGGCTTTTGTTCTATTCAAGATTCATTCTTGATTTCATCATTTCAATATAATTTCAATTGTATAAAAATTGTGGAGAACGGACCTAATGATAGCCCAGACTATAGCCATTTTCTAGCACTATCACATTCCAGAACTGCACCAAAATCTTTTCTCCTTTTCTCTTGAAGTTTTCCCTATATTCAGTGGCTGGTTAGAATGTTCTTCTTCTTTTCTTCTTTTCTTCTTCTTTCTTCTTTCTTCTTTCTTCTTTCTTCTTTCTTTCTTCTTTCTTCTTTCTTCTTTCTTCTTTCTTCTTTCTTCTTTCTTCTTTCTTCTTTCTTCTTTCTTCTTTCTTCTTTCTTCTTTCTTCTTTTTCTTTTTTTTTTTTTTTTTTTTTTTTTTTTTTTTTTGAGATGGAGTCTGGCTCTGTCACCCAGGCTGGAGTACAGTTGCAGGATCTCGGCTCATTGTAGCCTCTGCCTCCTGGGTTCCAGCGATTCTCCTGCCTCAGCCTCCTGGGTAGCTGGGATTACAGGTGTATGCCACCAATCCTGGCTAATTTTTGTATTTTTAGTAGAGTTGAGGTTTCACCATGTTGGTCAGGCTGTCTTGAACTCCTGACCTCAGGGGATCCACTCGCCTTGGCCTCCCAAAGTGCTGGGATTACAGCCGTAAATGACCATGCCTGGCCTAGAATAATTTTTAAAATAAAACTCAATTTTAATCATGTCTTCCTCTGCTCATAGGGCCACCATGAGTCGTTATCATCTCTACTATCAAATGGAAACTCCTCTGGTCTTTAAGTTTTTGTACAATTTACCACCAAACTCCATCTCAGCAAATAGCTTTCTCATCTTATGTCCCCTTTACTCGCTCACACACAAACAGCTTGCATATTCCAATCTCCATGTGTGATATATACAGGACAAATTCGTTTCCTATAGTTTTACTAATTATTTCTTCTTCTTATCAATGTCATATTCTAGTTTAAGAATGGCAGGACTGCAATTATTGTGAGGTAATTATTTACTGAATGCCTTTAATATGCCAGACACTGAATATTGTTTAGTAGCTGTTTCTGTCAAGTTACATTTCATTATTTTGCCCAATCAGATTGTAAGTTCCCAGAGGACAGGAGCAGGTCTTATTTGTGTCCCTCTGAAATCTCTTAATAATGATGCTAATAAACACACTAGACCAGGTGCTGTGACTCATACCTATAATCCTGGCACTTTGTGAGGCTGAGGTGGGCAGATTGCCTGAGCTCAGGAATTAGAGACCAGCCTGGACAACACAGTGAAACCCCATCTCTACTAAAATACCAAAAAAAAAAAAAAAAAAAAAAAAAAAAAAAATTAGCTGGCATGGCAGGTTGTGCCTGTAATCTCAGCTACTCAGGAAGCTGAGATAGGAGAATTACTTGAACCCAGGAGGTGGAAGTTGCAGTGAGCCGAGATCCTGCCAGGGTGACAGAGTGAGACTCTGTCTCAAAAAAAAAAAAAAAAAAAAATTACTTTATATTGACTTGCAGCTATAACATTTCAAATTACTGTCATAATTACTAGCTCACTGACTATGTTTTCAGTATTTTACCGTCAATGAACATGGGTCATCAAATGCTCTAGGAACCAGACTGCTGGTTACAGAACTGGTACTCAGTAGATAATGCATTTAATACATGATGAATGACTGAATTCAGTCTCACAACTTCACAACTTTTAACTGGTTACAAAAAATTATTTTGGCATATAAAAACAGAAGTTATTGTAGAGGGCAAAAACTGAGAAATGATGCAGAAGACACAACACAGAAGTGAATTAAAGTTCACAATGGTTAAACTATAATAGAGCAGGAGCAAAAGCAAAAGAGGAATCTCAGTTTCTCCCTCAAATGCACTATGAGAATTTAAATTCATTTCAAAAGGTCTTGACCTCTTATCAAATAAAACTGTTTTAAAAGCAAAATATTGGGCAGGGTTGCTCATGCCTATAATTTTAGCACTTTGGGAGGAGGAGGCGGGAGAATTACCTGAGCTCAGGAGTTTGAGACCAGCCTGGGCAACACAGTGAAACCCTGTCTCTACTAAAATACAAAAAATTAGCCGGGCATGGTGGCACACATGTATAATCCCAGCTGCTAGGGAGGATGAGGCAGGAGAATCACTTGAACCTTTGAGGCAGAGGTTGCAGTAAGCCAAGATGGCACCACTGTATTCCAGCCTGAGTGACAGTTGATAAAACCCAGTATCTAAAAATCACAGCATTTTACCTCATATGTATAAAGAAGTTCAAGAAAATATTTTCAGGCTGGGTGCGGGTGGCTCAGGCCTGTAATTCCAACACTTTGGGAGCCCCAGGCAGGCAAATCACCTGAGGTCAGGAATTCCAGGCCAGCCTGGGCAACATAGTGAGAACCTCTTTGACAAAAAACTAGTTGGATGTGGTGGTGGGCACCTGTAACCTCAGCTACTCGGTAAGCCGAGGTAGGAGAATTACTTGAGCCTGGGAGGTGGAGGTTGAAGTGAGCCGAGATCGCACCACTGCATTCCAGCCTGGGCAACAGGGCAAGACAAACAAACAAAATAAATTCTAAAAACCTATATATATATATATGTTTTTAAAATTATATATATATATAGGAGCAGCCGGTCTGCAAGGCCTCCACCCAGATTTGCATCACTGACATGTTCTGTCTGGTTACCAGCCTGATGAAAGGAAAGGAGGGGATGCCTGTGAAGGTGACAATGGTGCGGTGGGGGGGGGGGGTTGCGGGGTGGAGAGGGACCGTTTGTCATGAAGAACCCCTTTCACAACCACTGGTATCAAATGGGCACTGTCTCTTGGATTAAAAGCTGTGACCGGGATGGGAAATATGGCTTCTACACACATGTGTTCCACTTAAAGAAGTGGATAAAGAAGGTCACTGACCAGTTTGGAGAATAGAGGGGCCACTCATATTCTGGGCTCCTGGAACCAATCTAGTGAAAGAATTATTTTTGTGTTTCTAAAATTAAGGTTCCCAATAAAAGTGACTCTCAACGAGCAATATACATATTTCAACAGTCTTTAGAGATCCCCAACACCTGTTTGGGGGAGTCCCTAAATAAATAATACTTAAGTCCCTGTAAAAACCCATGTATTTATCAACTTTTCAACTAATTCAGCAAAAAACAGAAGTCAGCTGATTTGAGGACTCCTACTAACCCTAAGCACAATATGCCTGAAGACAGAATATCATTTATCCAGTAATTCCTACAACATACATTGCATGCCTACTAAGTGCAGACACTGGCCTCACCCTGGAGGAGAACAAAGAGGCCTAAATCTCAGTTGCTGTATGAATTTGTACAGTGAATTCAGAAAGGCACAAGTGATCTGAAAATCCAAAAAATAATTGTCGTCAATGGCCCTTTTCTCTCCACTTCCGGCTTTCTGCACCCTCAAATTTAAGGAAGCAAAAAAAAAAACCCTCAAGGACATTCAAGATAAAGAGAAATGAAAGAAACAAGTTAGGATCTAACCAGTCACCTGGAAGATACAGAAAACAGCTCCCAACGCTCTCCGTCATCCATGTGACTGGGCGGAAGTGCAGGAGAGCAAGGGGGCCGGAAACGCAGGGCCCGGCGCGGGGGAGGGGAAGAGTCACGGCCGCGAGGGTTGGAGACCGGAAGTACAGGCTCCCCTTGCGCGGGAGAATGTCCCCGGGCAGGGCGTGCCTCTGAAATCTCAGGCCGCACGAGGTCTCTCCGAGGTTCCTCCCACCGCAAAGCCCCATCATGATACAGAAGGCTTTTTTGCAAAATAGGGATTTCTCAGCTTTTCCGAAGAGGCTCCTAAATGTGGCTGTAACTTTGACAGGAGGTTTGTCGTGAAGGGGCGCGCTCTTTTCCCAGGGTTTTCTTAGGTGAATTGGCGTCGCCCAGACCGGACGGGGAAGAGCACGGACCCCGGGTCCTGGAGCCACGCGGGCGGGGTCGGGGCTGCTGAGCTGCCCGGAAATGCGGAGCGGCACCCCCTCCCTGAAGACTGACGGGGAAAGGGAAACGGGGTTCCGGCGGACGCGACCGCACAAAGAGGTCACTCGGGGGCACCGGAGCTCCGGTGGGGGCGCCGAAAGTGTGTCGTTGGGGCTGGCAGTGGCGTTTTTGGAAAGAGGGGCGCTTTCTGTTCGCCTCCCTCCTCCCCCGAGGCCGGGGCGGCTGGCGGCGCTCCGGGCCTCTGCGGACGCCCGAGGCTCCCGTGGCGCTCGGTCAGCGGCCGCCGGGGCAAAACGGGTGCGGGCACGGACGCAGCGGCCTCTTTTCAAATTGAGTCGCTCGGAATAAGGTGGTCTTCCGTTTTTCATCCGAGGCATAGAAAAGAAACTAGAAACTCGGAGTCTCTCTGTCTCTGCCCCAAATTAATGGTGAAATTGTCAGCCCGTCCTGAAAATGCGCTTCTCTTTCTATCTCTGTCTTTTCCTCCCTCCTCTCCCCGCAGCCTCGCCCTTCCTCTGCCTTCATCCCACACACTTCAGGAGTCCCCTACGTATTCCACAAAACCCGAAACAACCCTTTGGGCCACTTCACTCCTTCTCAGCTTTAGGTGACTGACATACATCCGAATAAAACTAGAGTTTTTTGCTGTAATTAAAACGTACCATCCCTATGTCTTCCCAAAGTGTTTGGACAGGGGACTGGTAGTCAGTAGGTCTTCACGACGTGGTTGATAAGATCACTTTTAAGCTCTCCTCCACCTGGTTGTCACTTGAGAATTCGGTTTGAGAGGAAATGGTTTTCTAGATGATTTTTTGTCTAGATGATTTTTCATCATATTAAACTTAAGAGTTTTTCTTATCCTCTAGCTCTGTGAATGTCCAAAGATGTAATACAAACTCTGCATTGATTTCCAAAGGTCTGATTTCCACAGTAGCCCTAACTCTCCGGTCCTGCCTGCAGTGCCTGCCCTCTGACATCCTGGGAATGGGAAGAAACACTGGGATCCGTGATGGCAGAACTGCGGACCCTGACAACTTCTGATTGTTGAAAGGGAGAGGGGAGAGTGGAAGAGAGGAATGGAAAGGCAAAAGAAAAAACATTTGTGTTCATTTACACATTTCCTGTGCAGAACAAAAAAGTCCCACCATCAGCAAAAGAAGTCTCTTCCTCCAAAATAGCAGCCAAAGAGGGAAAATTAGAATATGCATAAAGTCTTTCATTTTCATTCGCACAGAGCACGATTTCCAATTTCCGGCAGATTTGTATTTAAACTGCTCGATTAATCCCAATTTCAGAACAGCATTTTACTTAGCATTTTCCCAAAACTTACCTAAAGAGTTATTACTCCCTTCCCATCACCCTGTTTTGGAGCCTTCTTTTTCCCTATTCTCCAACTGCCGATAAGAATTTCATTGATAAGACTGTAACTTTATTTTTCCGGTCCATTATTTTCCTTTTAAAACTAAACTGATGCATTGGACCACACTTGAATGCAAGCTGGCTGCTGTCTGTGAAGCCGCAACTGCAAATGAGAGCCCACTGGAAAGGATGTGTTTTTGAAATGTGTATCTAAGAGAGAATAAACATGATAGGGCCAATAAACTCTTGCAGATCCTCTCCTGTCATCAAAACCTTTCCTGTTCTCCCCAGGTCATATCTTTTCACGACTAGCAATAGCTGAGATGCTTGGACAAAATCTACCCTCCAAACCTTTCCTTCCCTCACCCCTTTTAAGGAGTTTTATAGAAAATCATACAATCCTCTTCAAAGGAATATTACTCTTCTTAAATATTCAGAGTGTCAGTCCATTAAATTCCCCTACAGCCCATTACTAAAATATTTTGCTTTGCCACTTGTGCAACAGATCTGGCTGTATCTGAAATTTCCTTTGTTGGAAAAAATGTTAGTGAGCATCATTTGAATATCTTCTCTGAAATATTGTCTCTTGACTTGAGCTTACGGCTCCTACTTTTGAAACTGTGTATGTTTATTTTACTTAGTAGTAGAATGTTAAAAGAATAAAATTACTACATCTTGACTTACAGGAAAAATATATATCCTAATTCCATCCACTCCTAAATTCATCACTCTTGCACATCCCAAGACAGAAAGAACCTTTTATTTGATTCGTAATGTAATCTAAGCAAAATGTAGTGGTTCTGGCTTTCCTTCAGTGTTTATAGATCCCATGTAAACCCCAATTATGAGTAGTAAAAATTTGGAAAATACTAACATTTGTTTAGCTTTCAGTTTCTGTAAAAAAAAAAAAAAAATACGTATTTGAACCATATGCAGCATGGTGTGTAATATAGGTGCATAAGCATTTAAATATGTGGGTTAAATATCTGGTTAGATAAACAGTCATTAAGATATTGGGATATAGATGCATATTAATTTTGTTAAATGGGTGCATAAACTCTGCATTTGTGATAGGGTCTGCATGACTTACTACCTTGAAGTAACTGCTTTTATTGTTTTCTTTCTGTCATGACAAAAGTATTACACAACTTTAGTTATGCGTTTTTCTGTTGACTTGGAGGTTCTCAGTTAAATACTATTAAAACCAAAATGTTGGGAAATAAATTCTCAAAAGCCATTCGGGAGTAAAGGTAACAGGATTGAAAGCCACTTTTACTAGCAGTGCTGATTTCTTTTCATTTTCTTATTGAAATAAATGATTGTTTCTTAACCAAAGGGACCATTTAAACAAATAAGAAACAATCACAATAACCGAGTATATTTCTTAAAATTTTATTTTAATTAGAATTTCCTTATATATGGAAAACTTCTGTTTGATTTCAAGTTGCAGAACTACTTCCAGAAGAGTTTGAGGGAATTTAATAGTTATGATTAGTGCAGTGAGAAAGCCTGAGGTACCATTGAAGAGTAGATTGATATACAGTTACAGCCAGAGCTGCATTTCTCTCGTTGCAGTCTTAGGCAAGATAAGACTGAACATCACCTCAGAGAATTTATCATCAGAAATGAAATCTCCTCATTCTTTGCTGATCTTTAGTGAAATAATATTCTCATGAACTGGAATTTTTTCATACTTTTTACAATGAAAAGACTAGAAAGAAATGAAAAAAAAAGATCATGCAGCCTCCCTGCAGTGAAAGGTTAAGAGACAGAAGCATGGTACTACAGCAGGGAAGTTGCATCCTTTTTTTTTTTTTTTTTTTTTAATCCCTCCCTTTCTTCCATCAATTACTGTTTGGTTTTGTGATAGTGTGTATATGTGAGTTTGACGACAATATCTTTAAAATTTTCTAAAGGTTAAAACTTGATATTTATGTCTTTCTTTTTGTTATTTTTAAGGTGTACAGCTCTTGCTTTTACATGCATTACTAGGGCTATATTACTTTGCAAGAAAGCAGAACAAAGAAAATATGTTTAACGGTTAATCTTCCTTGATCTAAAATTGTCCTTCTATAGCTAAGATCCTTTTCCATTTGGCCCTAGCTGCTGGACTGCCAAAGAATTTCTGTCATGTTCTCTGTTCTCTTCTGTAATCATGCTTCCTTTCCTAAACAGCTTTCTTTTCCCCTTCACAAAAGAAGGCAGTTATAAAACAACTTGCTTTCACCTCAATATCTGCCTGATAAATATTGAGTCTAATTTTCTCCCAATTCACTTTTTAATTTTCATTCATTTTCTTTATGGGGGGATAATGGTGCCTGGGGGTTCCTAAGATGTGAAGAACATGGGGCTGAGAGGAGAGTTGGATTACTGCAGACACAGACTCGCTGGCAGATACTTTCAAGCTTAGTCCAAGGAACTAGGGCTGGTCTTTCACCTAAACAATAAACCTTGGGAAGTTTTCAGTTCATAAAAGCATTTTTCTCTTCTTCTGAGGCAATGGGCTTAGCTTTACTTGCCAGACTACCACCAGTTACTAATATCTTTAACCTGCTCTCTTCCCTCCAGGTATACTCCCTTCACTTCATTATCCTCTTTGTGTCTTTCTATCTCTAAAGGAATCAAAAGAGTTCATCTTGGGGAGCCTAATTCCTACTTCTTGTTTCTTGACCTATGGGCTGGCTTCCTTAGGGCCAGTGAACTCTTTTGAACTCTTAGGAACCTCAGTGACTCAGCCCTTCTCAAACTCCTCAGCTTTGTGAACTTGCATCTCAAATAGGACAACTTACCCACTCACCAGCAGAGCTCCATCCGGAAGGCACCTGAGAATCCTTTCTACCCAAGAATTCCTTTACATACCTGCCTCTGAACCCAGTATTTTTTTCCCCAGGTGGGTTTATTTGGGATTGTCATCTGCAGGGCTGCATGTCCATAGCAATAAAGGGGAGTGGATACAAAAATACTCGGTGCCATTAAAAAGACCTACGATATTAGACCAAGGGAGTCTCTATTAGGAAACTTGGGTTGGAATAGATCATCCAAATAACCAGTGAAACGAGAAATCAGAGAAATGCCTGACTGCAGCTGTGAAACACAAATTTCAAACTGAAATGGATTCCATCATCCTGTCAGCCAGATAAATTATTTTAAAATTGTTTCTGCTATTGTTTGCATTATTATTATTAACAGTTTATTTTTGTCATTATTGTAATTTTTGTTATTTATTTTTGTTGTTGTTGCAGCTATTATACTATTCAACAGAAGTTTAGAAAGATTAGTCAGATTAATTAGTTTATTGGTAATTTAAAGCTGAAAGCTAGTAATTAAGCCAAAAACTAAAAATGATCAGGGATGATTCATACTAATGTAGGATTTGGGAGAAAGAGAACCTAAATTTTGGACATAAAATTTGGCAGCTGTGAAATAAATAGGACTTGGGGATAAAAAATATGATAACTGAAATTTTCTGTCATTCAACCACTTCCCCTCCCCCAAATTCAAATAAGATTATTCTGTGATTTGCTTGGTAGAGGGAAAAAATATCTATTTGTTTTTGTTGACAGGGAACAAAGATCCCATGTATATTCTTCTTGTGATTTGCATTTTCTTGTGGATACCCTCTGCTCAGGACCAACCAAACATTTAAGATCACTTCCCTCCAAGTTTGACTATTTCATCTCTTTGCTCTTATTATGCACCTCTCTGAAGAGGGTGCATCATGTAAGACAGGTATAGAATTTCAGCCCTCTCAGACAAATTCTGTGGAATGTAAATTCAATAATGCAATTCTCCTCACAACAGGCTCTGTTCTCTTTCAAATATAATTAATGTTTTGATAGTGTAGTTCTTTAACTACATATATACACACAAAAACAGACATACCCTCTAGCTTTGCTGTTTGTGTATCTAAAGCAGAAATGGATGCAGTTCTTTGAGTGACTCCTAAAATTCCTCAACTCAGCCCATAGAGAAGAGATCTGTTTAGGTAAAAACTGCAGTCTGTTGCATGCCCAAAAATATTTAAAACAATTAAAAAATGAAAGTTTCTGGTTTTTAATACTAATTTTTCTGTTAAATTTCATAGAAAATAAAGGATATTCTGAATTGATATTCTGATACAGACATTTACTAGAGAACAGTTAAAATAAACAAAAACACTGTCCTAAAACCCTGGTTGTCTTTTCCAAGTTTTGATGATGGAAATTGAATTTCAATCTCTTCCATTTTACCTAATTGGTGCTAAATTGACACAGATGTATAAAAACTAGCAACCATAATAACATAAGTACAATGACTTACATAAGAAATTGCTTACTCTATCAAATACCTCAGCTGTATGTTTTAGATGAATTAACTCTCTTAATTGCTATCAGTTGAATATAGACATATTTGTATGTGAAATAGATGGTCACAACAGACAGACACAGATATGTAGGCAACATTATGGCCAATAGGAGGTAAGTGAGCAGATGCTGAGCTTCCACATTCAAGTGTCTTACACCCCCAATATTTCATTTCTCCAAATGGATTACAATTATAAGAGATAAAATAACCTTGCAGATTGTAGGACATCATATATGTTCTGTCTTTCATATAGAAAATACATAATACATAATAATCCAATAAAAATATCAACCTTGTTCTCCCTATATTGTTACTGAGTTGAAGAAGCTAGATCTGTGGCACTAGGACACTGATTTCCAAGCGTCATGGTCATTTTGTTTGAATTGTGAATATATAAAATATGTTGGTAGGGGAAATATTTTACACATTTCTCCTTTCCACAGGTTTTTTTAGAGGTAATGTGTAAAAGATTAAAAAAAAATTTTTTGAAGTTTTTTCTTAATCTTCATGTGATATTTAATGTTTGGAATTGTGAAAGAAGATAAAAGAATCAACAAAGAAGGGAGAACATGTGACTGATTTCAAATAGGCCTTCTTGCTAGATGAGAAATAAACAAAATATTTTCCAGTGCAGTTTTGCAAAAAAGGGGGAGGGTATAATTTGTGAAAATCTCATTTGAAATTTTTTGTTATGATTTTAGATAATAGCCAGCTAGGGTTCTTTTTCCATTACTTTCCTCCAAACTGTTTTCCTTGAAAGCATAAATGTGCAAACGACTTATGCCTTCATTCTCTCACAGGCTATTATACAAACAACAAATATTTTCGTTAAATTTTTGATAGTAAAATCCTTTACAGGTCTACAAATTCAATCTTAGTGCAAGACTAAATTACCAGTCCAGTTGTTTACATACAAGTAAGCTAATATTTGTCTTCAGTGAGCGAAGTAATCTATAAAAGGATGATTTTTACAACATTGATCAGCAATGATGTGTGAGCTACCAAGAAGAAATTATCCCTCAGACATTTTATATTTGTTCTGATTTCTTTCTCCTTATTCCTTTCTTCCGATTTGTTCTTTGAGACAGACACGACTAATTCTCTGATTCTCCAAATGAAGTTTGGTTTGGCTCAGATTAATATTAAAGAAGATCACATACACGGTCGAAAAATATTGTTATTTTTCTTTAATGGGGAAAATTGGACTCCCGCGTGTCAGATCTGTGGATTTCCGAAAGGCAATGGAAATGGTACTGACATCACTTTGCACTTTAACAATCGGATTTGGTCAGGGTACAAGTTGTTTGTTTAACCCGACAGCTCGGTGCACCCCGTCGCACGCTTTGCACACTCATTAAAACGATTATTCACGACCTGTCGAGTGTTTTCTGGTTCATTCACAGGAAAGGCTTGGAGCGAGGGAAAGCAATTCAAGTCAACACTGTCCACTACCCTGATGCATGTGAGGACGAGTTGCTGTGTGCGTAAAAGGACTGAGGGAGGGGTGGGTGAGTACGCGTTAGCTATAAGTCCCCTTCATCCGATGCTCTGGAACCACAATCTCGACACAATGCCAAGAATGCTTGGTCCTACAAGGACCACGTCGCTGCTAGGATAACTTCAAGGGCTTGGCATAAGACAAAAAAAAAAAAAAAAAAAAAAAAAAGGAAAATAAAATAAAATAAAATAAATAAAACTCTCCCTCTGCTCCTCTTTTCAACCTTCTGCAAAACTTGTTAAGTCCCAGGACTCGCCCACTTTCTGCCTGCAGCCAGCTGCGGGACTGAGTGGTTCCACCTCTCACAGTGCGGATGCTAAGGAAAACTCGCCAGGGTGAGACGATTAATTCCTTTTCCATCTCCCAAGGCCCTATCATTCTTAAAAAAAAAAAAAATGGTTATGGTTATATTCCTTGCACAGACTGGGGGCGGGGGTTGGCGCAAAAGATGAAGAATAATAGAGTTGTTAACAGTATTTGGTAAATGTATTCCAAACTGTTAACAAGGAAGAATTAATCCTCCAAACTTTAATAAAAGTCCTATGAAATGAGGATTAAATAGCCCTCAATAAATTAGGTCACTTTTTTCTCTCAATTTTCAAGTAATCTTTCAATATTTTGTAATGATGATAACAGAAGTACAGATACTAACACATCTCAATATCCCACTGTTGCTCTGTACTTATAAAAGGCACACTACCAGGTCTTTAGTTTTCCTATTTGTTCAAATGAACTCTGATATGTAACATTCCTGTGAGATATTAGTTCAAGAGAAATGTCTATCTTTGTAAGTTATCATCACACATAATGCTAAGTAATACAAAATATGAGTACATAAACTATATACTAAAGAACTCCAGATTGTATCATTCAGCCTAAGTACTCCTGGCATAATTTAGAATTAATAGATGTTTTAAAACACAAGTATTATGTCTATATTCAAATGATTGCTACTTGATTTTTCATAAACAGCAGTAATAAACCCAATGGCCAGCTTATTGTTATGAGGGTAACTTCATCATGCCAATGAAAAAAGACAACAAAGCTCTTTAACAGTTTCATTCTATTATATCTGACATCACAAATCATCTATTTTTCTATTTTATTGAAACACATCAATACAAAGTATGAAGAAAAGAATGGACGTTTTCAAGCAGCATGAGGTTTTAATCAGAAACATATTCCTAATTGCTAAAAAGCAAGTATGAATAAGTAATTTCATAATCTCCTTGGGTTGCCATAATTCACTATCAGGTTTACTTAAAATGGATCTGTCAAGTGTGTTTCAATTCCTATATAAGCTCTTTCATTAAAAGCAACCTACGATAATAATCAAGAGGCAGATGCTGAAATATGTAAGTAAATAACTGAAAGCCTCTGCATAAATAAACACAAATCAATGTAGTAATAAACAACACTATTGATGTAGGAATGATCGATTTTAGTTTTCTAACCTGCAATCAGAGCTTGCAATGTATAATTAAAAGTATATTTTTCAACTTCCCTAATACTACTACTACTGGAAAAAATAAATAAATAAATAAACAATTCTTTCTACCAGTTCTACCTAATCTACTTTATTCCTTCTAGAGTATTTCTGATGGGATGGGAGAAGTACTCTGTTTTTTTCTAAGAAAGCTTTGCCAAACTTTAAAATGACATTATTAATTATAGAAATTATAAAAGTATCAAATAATAAAATTACCACCTAATTCTTCCTCTGAATTTTTCAACCTTTATCCCAGCCTCTAATTATTCATTCAGTACATTTTAATAGGAAAAACACACAATGGTGCTTATTAATTTTAAAGATCTTTTTCAACGGCTGTAGTACATTTTGGTTTAAAGATTATTTGGGCCTTTTATTAAAACAATAAGATGTCATTTCCTCAATACACTTCGGAAGCTCTCACACCTATACTTGCATATGGAGGCACCATGAAATAGGCAAGGAGAAAAAAAACCTGCATTGTGTTAATATTATTTCATATAATGATTGCAAAACAAACTAGTATCTGACTCAAAGAAATAAATATACTTTGGATTTCTAGAAATTCACATCTAAAACAATGTTTTAGATTTTGCTAAAAGTTAAATTTTCTTCTTGAGAATATGTATCCCTGGAAGGCCGAATTGATTTAGATTAGCAAGCACCAGTATGTGATGAGTTTGAATATTTAGATTCTGGAGAGTAATGAAAATACAGTGTTCATATTTTTTCTTCATCAACAAAGATGCTTATTTACATTCATTCTTGAATCCAGGCTTCTCAAGCACAAGCCTTTAAAAGAATGTCTTCTTTATGAAATTCAACTACTTTGAAAGGGATTTTTTTTCCTGTGTGATATCACTGGCACACAAATATTGATTTTGATTATCTTTATAATATCGTATCACAAAACACTCTCTCAGACTTCTCTCCTATCCAGGGCCAAGAATTCAAGGGCAACCAAATCCAAAAGGAAAATATCAGTTATTATTTAGGGCTAATTTAACAGATAATTTAACTTCAAACAACAATGATCAGGTCATTAAATTTCACAGCAATGAGAAAATGAAAGAACTGAGAGACAACTCTCCATAACCCCATTACAGTTTTTAATCTTCGTGCTCAATCAACGGAATCAAAAACGTCTACGCAGGAAGATATGTTTGCACCTTAAACGCATTGATTCAAAGAATGACACAATAGGAAGAGGTGAAGAGGAATAAAATTGAAGACGACGACTACAGTTTCTGGGAGTGACAGTGCAGTAGGCAAATTCAACCAGAGCCGAAAATGAATACCCAAATATGTTTGGTAACTAAACACTCCCTTTCATTCCAACACGAATCTCAAATCTGTAAACGTCCAACATGCTTTCCCCCTATGGGGCTTTTCTGCAAGATAGGGAAGATACGACCGAAGATAGGGAAAAAGGTTTTGTGCTAAGCAACAGACCACGAAAAAGACGTGGGGCATTTTATCTTAACCCGCACCCTCACAAACATAATTTGTGAGTTATTTGTTATCATTGTAAATGCCTGTTGTGATCACAACACTTTCAGAATGTCTGCCTACCTCAAGATTTGATAGAAGAGCGGGTGAAGACGGTGTTGAATTATAGAAATTGAGTCGACTTGCAGGGGAGGGCGGGTGAGGGGGAGTCGGAAGTGAACCACCTCTGTTCTGCGTTGCCCTTCCTTCCCATCACCTTTCCTAGACTGAAGATTACCGCCTGAAATCTACGCATTGGCGGAGTACTCTGCCTTGCGGAGCCCCTACCTCCCTCTCGGCAACGAGGGTCCGCCCTCAGTGCTATGGGAATTCTCACCAGAGGCTACTTCTTTTCCTGTAAGACCCCTCCACCTTGGACCACAGCCTTGGTCAGAGAGAAGCAAAATGGGGTAGGAAGCGAAGGGGGAGTCGGGTAGCAAGTGGAGAGGAGAAGAGATGTCCATTACAGAGCAAATAGTTTTATCCACTAGCCAAGAAGTGCCGAGATCTGAAACTGCACCGGGTAAACAAAAGGAAACAACTTTGGGAGGGGAAAAAAGTGGTGGAGGTGGTGGGGGGGGGGGGGGGAGGATGGCACACAGAAAATGAAGAAGAAAGGGAAAAGGTAGGGAAGTGCGCCAGTCAAGGCTCTGAAGTTTCTCTTCCTGGCATCAGCCAATGTGAGCTACCAAACGTTCAGCTCTGCTTGTCCTGGGCAAGAGCGCCCTCACGTTGCTGCTCCTTGCACAGCGCCCGGCTTCGCCTTCTGCGGGGATCTCTGCCGCAGCGTCCAGACAGCGCCTCTCCTTCCCGGCCACCGCGCCGCCAGCGAGGCCCCAACTCAGCAGCCTAAGTTACTTCTCCACATCGGTCCAAAACCCGAGAAAACAACGCCGCCGGGTCCCTACCCCAACGACTTCAAGTCCCACTATTAAGCCACCTCTCCATCTTCGCCCAGGAGTCCCTTAGGCTCCGGGAAGGCCAATTAATTGGACACCGCGACGAGAGTCCCAAATTCGCTTCGGGCCGAGCCAACCTGTATCTGGCGCGTGCTCTCAGCCACTCTGGGACAGCGAGGCTCTCGAGCGTACACTGACGTCTCCTAAGTGTGCATTAAGAATCAATTATTTGCCTGAGATTTCCAAAGCCAGGAACTGGGATACTCCCAGCAGGGACAAAGTCAAGCCCAGAACGGTGTTCATTTCCCTAGTCTTTCGAAGAGACAGAAGAGAAGACTCCCACACGCGCCCACTGCCTCTCCCGACCCAGAGAAGCCGGGCTAAATCCGACTGGGAGCCTGCTGTGACCCATGCCAAGGAGCTGGGGGCCAGGGCGAGCTCTAGGGAAGGTTGGCCTTGTTAGTGCAAATAGAGATAAGGGCTATCCAAAGAAGAACTTTAGAGAGAAGCAGGTTCCTGGCTCTGGAGCAAAGAGCTTTAACTGAAATAGGGGTAACTAATGACTCTGTGTTTGATCGCTAAGAACGTCCCGGAGTTCCTGCAGCAACCATAAGAATTAGAAATCATATTTCCACACAATGAATTAATTTACAGTTTGGGACCTATTTCAGTCTCCCAGTACCCTTTCTCCGTACAAGGGTGTCTCGTTTTCTCTCCATATTCCTTTGCCGTGTCTACATCCTTTTGACCTGGGGATTCACTGTGATTTCTGTCAACGTGGAAAACATTATGCATCCTTTCAGCTACATCTGTTGGTAGCGCGCCTGCTAACAAACATTTTCCAAGAAAAGGTGAACACTTAAGCCCAGGACCCCAAAGTCACGCGTTAAAACTCAGTCAAAGCAGTCAGTTACACATACTCCCTACTCCACCCCTTCCCTTCGGAAAAGCACTTTCACTTACTGATCCTGTGGTTAAGAGCGCTTCCAGTCCTGATATCCTTTTCCTCGGCATCCTTCAGACAACCTCAGGCAGAGCCTTGGGTGGAGGGGAAAAAAACAAAAACAAAACACGGTAGAAATCGGGAGGGAGACAAGAGACACAAAACCTAACAATACATCGTCTATTTGCCAGCCTGGAGCCCGCTTGGCCTACATCCTCAGAATAAGGTCCCTAGAACTGACCGCTAGGGAGGGTAATGGGTGCCTTTGGGAGCCAAAGTCTGAGGTGGATTATTTTAACTGCTGGTGATTGAGGGGAAAGGGCCCTGAAGGGAGAATAAAAATGGGGGCATGATTGGGATAGAGAAAATAAATCCTTTTTAAAAAATGCACGCAAATGAAAATCTAGCACGAAGTACTAACTGGAAAAGATCTCCAGTGCCTTTTAACTATTACAGGTAGGTAGCCTGAGGAAGAATGCAGACGTGTGTGCCTGAAAGAGAGAATCTAAATGACCTCTATTATTCCATATCTCCAGGATCTGGCCTTAAGTAGAAAAATAAATAGGGGAGAAATTTAATTCAAGTTTCACCTACCCTGCTTGTTGGAATGGCTGCGCAGATTTTCATGCTGGAGAGTTCCATCTGTCTGGCAGAAGCTGAAGTGGTGTTGGGGGCAGGTTATCTGGTGAAGTAGGAATGTACAGGAACCCCGCCCTCTAGGCACAGTTACACAACCCCAGCAACCCATCTCAGCCAGCTCTAAAACCTCTAATGATCTTCACCTTCACCCTTTGTTAGCCTAATTCTCCAACAGGCTTTTAGTCTCAAACACAACCAGCCATTTTAGCTATTTATAAAATTAATTTCCCAAAAGCAAAGTTTTCCCAATGCATGCAAATTCCTCAACAATTATGTAGAAAACACATTTTAAAAACCACACTTCTATAGACTTCAAAATATATTAAATTTATCTACGTGTTTGGGTGAAATATGCACCAACTTAAATATATGTTAATCAATACACTGCAAGACTAAATTTTTGCCTCTCTGCTTTTGATTTTATGCAAGTCACAGAAACTATATGAAGGCTGCCATGACCATAAGTATATTTGTATTAAACCTTGTTCTAGACTTTATGTTCACTTGGTTCCCAATTTTGTAACAGGCTGAAGAAACAAATTTGAAATAATACTTTTAACTCCTCTAGTTCAATTACATAATTTTTCTGTGTTTTACATATTAGTATTTTTTTTTGTTAACTTTACAACAGACAAATTCAAGTAAAATACTTTAAACCTGGAAATAAACTTTAATTTGGGATTTCAAGTTTTAAGTTTTGATCAGTTTCAGTTCCAAAATCTCACAAAGGAGAACCTTAATCTTATTAAAAACAATTATAAGTATGAAAAAAAATATCCTCAAAAAGTTTTGAAGTGTATTTCTGACATTAACTAATTTTAACCGTCAAAGGTTGGAGACAACAAGTAACACAACATTACAACCAGTTCGATGCAATAATGTATTACATGCCATTCCAGACTGTCATGTGTTTTTTGAGAAGGTAAGTTGAGGGATGATAGGATAGATCAAGGGAAATGAGATGTTCATACTGGGCTTCAGGAAGCCTTTACGAGATTCTCTCTCCATATATCTGCCTTCGTGTCTAGTATACCTAACAAACTTCCAGGCATATCCATTATATGTAATTTGGACATGGGTCCAAGCAGAACTTTTACTCCAGCACTTCGTTTCTATGAATCAAAGAAATCAGTTTTACTCTTGATTTCAAAGGATGATGTTTGCTATTAAAATTCTATTTATCTGTCAGCCAAATGGACACTTATAATCACAAATAACTATAGTTATTTAAGGTGGCCAAAAAAAATTCATGCAGGAAAACTTTCTTCTATACCTATATCCCTTTACCTCGCCACAAAAGTTCAACTTTCTTTTTAATATTTAGTAAGCAAAATTCTGTATTTCCCCTGTATTAATACATTCTTATTCCACAAATAAAATCCATGGCAAAAGCAAGCAATAAATCATCACCATTTTTCAGCTTGGACACACGCCTCTCTTTGAGCTATTTCAGTTAAAAATGTATAATGGGGATTTCCTTTGCCTAAAACCATTCACTTGGACTTTATTGCTATTTTTAATATCGGCCATAAATTTGGCTTTTAAAACAATAATTTGTTTGGGAGATGTTTTTATGCTTCATTCTGAATAACTTAAATTTCAAGGAAACTTGAACCTCTGGTTAAACTGTTGTTATACTAAGAAAATAAAATCATGTCTAATTGCTTAAAGGAGATAATTAAACTAACTGTCTTGGTCTATTTTTGTCCATTCCCCGTTTGTGTATATTTGGTTCCAACTCTTAATTTTCCTGGCCTTTATATTCTTTCTTAGGCCTCTCTCTCTCTCTCTTTATCACTCACCTTATCTCTCTCTCTCTCTCATTCACTCTTTTTGGTGGTAATTATTTTTTCACCACAAAGATCCTCTCTCCTTCTCTCTCTTTTCCTGTCTCCTCTCCACAATCCACCCCCTTCTATTTTCCAGTATTAAGTATTCAGCATTTCAATTTCAAATCTATTCCAGTAAGCTTGCTTCTCCCTTAGGTGTTCTTTTTTTTTTTTTTTTTTTTTTTTTTTTTTTTCCTCCTCCTGAGCAACTCTTTAAGTGTTTGCTGATAACATCTTAGGGACAGATTATTTTTCATTGGGCCCATTGTAAGAAGTAACCAGCTTATTGCAGTACTGCAGAACACATATCAGACTATACAATTGTAACAAATGAACAACTTGTCCTCCACAGATTCACCACAGGATCCAATTAGTTACTAAACCTTTTACTAGGGTTTTCTAATTATTTTCTGCAATTATAGCTATCGGGCTGCCTGAAACAATTCAAAAAATGTTTTCATTTTGTCTCACATATATACACATATACAGTATATGCATACATATGCATATGGCAAGTTAAAACAAAATTATGACTAAGCAAAAGGAACAAACTTCTAGATTGAATTACACAGACATTTAAAAGGGAATCAAAGAAATACCTCTACATTGTGAAAATTAAGAACAGAGGCATTTTACTTCTGAATGTCTAGAATTCTAAATTGTTATAATTTCAAAATAAAATATAAACATTGATCTGCAAGTCATTACAACAGGTGATCACTTCAGCAAAATCTATATTGCAACTTCAGCACATCTTTATTAGAACTCTTTCATTGTGGGTAAACAGCCACAAAAATAAATGCTGACTTCGAAAGTATAAATACAAATATTTAAACAAAAATGTTTGCAGCATTCATAGCGCAAATTGTACCTGAACTGAAGGGCTCTGTGTGTCTATACATATTACATATGTGTGCATTATATTCACTTCTATCTAACCATATACATATATTTATTTATAATTTGCCAAGCTCTATTAACAATATACCTGAAACAAAATATATAAAAAGCATTCTATTAACTGATTTGAAAATAAACACAGGGTAAACAACTATGCACATAAAAATTAAATTATATCTTTTTGCTGTATATCCACAGAAACTTACAGGTATCAGCTGAAAAGCCTATACTTTGTTTAAAGCTAGTGTTTAAATAGGCTGCTCCTTGTAAAATTCCTTCACAAAGGGAAAAATACTATTTTCATTTTTAGAGTCAGTTCAAATTAAAGGAGCAGTTTAAATTTTAGTTTGGCTGAAAAAGCCTTTGAATTCCCTATAACTTGATAGGTCTTTAAAAAATTAGCTCTACTTAATAAAAGAGACAAAAGTATCAAGATATATATGAATTTAGCCTATTTTTTATTTCTGTGTGTTCATAGTAAACATTTTTGTAAGTGACAAACACGGGCATATGACCACAGTATCACAATCAAGAAATTTTAAGACAACATTAACAATCACTCAAATTTATGCGGCATTTGCGCAACACAGGTTACATATTTGCAAGGTTTACCTATAAGTACAATAGGTATTAACATTTCACTACATTTAGAAAAAATAAAAGTGACCTGTTAGTGACCACATACATCAAAATATACACAACACAAACTGAAGGCAATCGTTAATTTTGTCCCCTTCTGATTCAATTGAATGGGCAGTGTTGCCAACTGAAACAACTTTCCTTTTTGTTTGTTTTAATACTTAGTATACCAAGTGCATTTTCTAGAACCCAATCTTTGGTCTAAAAGTAAACAAAAGAAAAAAAAAAAACAGTTCTTTAAAGAAAAGGACAAAACAGTAAATGGCCAAAATAATTTCTTGGGCACCTTTACTACGAATGCTTCTTAAATACAAATTACAGTTTAACATTTTAAAACTCTCCCCATAATTTAGGTTGTTATCAAGGTCTGCGTCCACCATGTAAATCCATGATAACTTATAATACTGCACACATGGAAATCTGGCGGCTCTTAGAGATAGACTTGTCAGGTTTGAATGAAATGGCAAAGCAGTCACTATTTAGATACACATTCTACTATAATTTTGACTTCCAAACCTTATATTCTACAATGTATTCTCCCCACATTGCACCTCGCTGACACTCCACACCTTGTTAGAATAATAAACAACCCTAGAGACTGAACAAACGTACAGAAATGGGAGGGGGGGGCTTAATAAAAAATACCTGGACTTATTTTTTTAATTATCATTTACAATGCAAATGTGTGTAAAACGTTCACTTACAGTCTGGTCCCAGGGATGTTAATGTATTAAAGGGTTGGAAGAAGACCCCTGATTTTGATGTGTGAAATAATCAGACAGTCCCCCGGACAGTCCCGTCGTAAAACTTGGCAAAGAGGGTCTTAAAGACTCACAGGGCAGGGTCGAGGGGGCCTGCGGCGACGTGGAGGAGGACGCGGCCCTGGCGCTCATGGACGTGCTGCTCTGCGAAGTCATTGACGGGTGCGGGACGTGGGGGAAAAAGTAACTGGTCTGGCCCGCGAGCAGGTTGACGGAGCAGGGGTTGAGGGAGTAGGTCCCGGAGCAGGGCACCGACAGGCCGCAGGGCACGGAGGCGGCGAGCGCGGCGGCCGTCAGGTGGTGCGTGGCGTACGGGATCTCCCCGTTGACCAGCCGGTCCACGCTCAGGCCGTTGGCCGTGGAGAAGGAGTGGTTGTTGCCCAGCGAGTTCTGAGTCAACACGGAGCTGTAGGGCATGGGGTGGCTGGGGTAGGCCGACGTGGTGCCGTTGTAACTCAAAGTGCTGCTGGCGCGGGGGTGGTGCAGGGACAGGAAGGGCGACATGGGCCAGTAGAGGGAGCCGGCGCGGTCCATGAAGGTGAGGCCGGTGGAGGTGAGGCGCGCGCCGCGCTTGAAGGCCAGCTTGGCCCGCGACGTGGTGGAGCGCCGCCGCAGCTTGCCCGTGGTGCCGCCGATGAACACGTCGTCGCTCGACGGGTCCAGCATCCAGTAGTTGCCCTTGCCCGGGTCGTCGTAGTGGCGCGGCACCTTCACGAAGCACTTGTTGAGGGACAGGTTGTGGCGGATGGAGTTCTGCCAGCCCTGCTTGTTCTCGCGGTAGTAGGGGAAGTTCTTCATGATGAACTCGTAGATGCCGTTGAGCGTCAGCCGCTTCTCGGGGCTCTGCCGGATGGCCATCATGATGAGCGCGTTGTAGCTGAACGGCGGCTTCTCGTACTTGCCGTTCTTCTTCTCGCCCTCCTTGCCCCCCTCCCCGTCCTTGCCGCCCTCGCCCGCCCCCTTCTTCTCCTCCCCCCCGGCGCCGGCGCCCTTCTCCTTCTCGTCCGGCCCGACGGGCGCCAGCTCCCCGGGCCCGCCGCCCGGCTCGCCCTTGCCGCCCAGCCCGTCCGCTTTGGCCCCGTCCAGGGCGGCGGTCGGCGGCGGCGGCGGCGGCGGCGGCGGCGGCGGGAGCAGCAGCTGCTGGGGGCCCTTGTCGTCGTCGGCGGCCGGGGCGCCCCGCGCCTGAGGGGGCTGCGGGGCCGGGGGCGGCGGCGGCGGCGGCGGCGGCTGCTGCTGCGGCGGCGGCGGCGGCGGCTGCGGGGCGGGCGGCGGCGGGTGGTGGTGGTGGTGGTGGTGGTGGTGGTGGTGCTGGGGGTGGTGGCTGTTGTGGTGGCCGTGGCTCGCGTGGTGGTTGTCGTTCTGGACCGCCTCGGGCACCAGGCTGTTGATGCTGAACGAGGACTTGGGGATCATTTTCACCTCTTTCCTATCTCCCATGTCCAGCATCACCCAGTCGTCGGGGGGAAACGGCGGCGGCGGCGCGGGAGCGGGACGGCGGCGCGGCGGGCGGCGGCGACCGGCGGGTGCCGAGCGGGGCGCGGGGGGCGCGGGCGGCAGCGGCGGCACTGAGCGCTCCGGAAGCAGCGCAGTTGGACCGCAGGCTCGGGCGCTGGCAAGTCATGTAGCAAAAGCAGCAACCACCCCTCAGGAATTAGAAAAAAAAAAAAAAAAAAAAGGAAAAGAAAAAAAGAAAGAAAGAAAAAAGAAACAACCACCGCCCCGGGGGTGAAGCTCCCTCGCTCCCAACTGTACTTCTTGGTCTCCCCCCCACCCCCCGCTCCCCCCCCCCGCTGCTTCCTCCTCCTCCTCCTCCTCTCGCAGCAGCAGTCACAGCAGCAGCAGCAGCAGCCCAAAGGGGGGGAGAGCCGGGCGGCGGGCGGGCGCGTCCCGGAGCGGCCGCGGCGAGGCTGGGGAGACAGCGATCGAGGCGGCTATAGCCACAATTAATTTTCCGAGCTACAGGCGCACACTAGGGCTGTAAAAAAATTTTTGGTTTAACCTTTCCTACCGCTGGGCCAATCAGAGCCGGCGGCGTGCGGGAGCGTCTCTTTCGCCGTCGACCAATCGGAGGGGCCGGGCCCACCCACCCCCGCCCCGCCCGCCGGCTGCCGCCCCCTCGGGCGCTCGCCTCCCCCTCTCCGCGGGCCTCGGACCCCGCGGCCGCGCCGAGCCGCGTAGGGATACGCCGGCAGGAGCACGCGGTGCCGCAGCCCTTCCCTGCGCCCCTGCGCCCCTGCGCCCCCGCCACCCCCTCCAGCCCGCCGGCTCCGCTCCACCGAAGTCCCCTCCTAGGGCCAATAGCTCACATTTCCGGCTTCCTCCTCATTGTACTGGGTCATTTTCGTTTGAGCGTCAATATTTGTCCTTAGCGATTAAAGTTTGTATCCAATTTTATTTTTGAAAGCAGGGGTGGTGGTGGTGGCGGCGGCAGTGGGAAGAGTGGGCGTGCAGGGAGAGGATGCAAGGAGAGGGCAGGAAATGGAGGAGGTAGAGAGGAGAGGCACTACTTTTCCGAGTCGGCCCTGCAGGCCCGGGTCTGGCATTTCTGGGCCCTTAGGAAAATTGTGCCCTTTGTAGGTAATACTCTGGCGCAGCTTTGGATAAGGAGGGATTCGAGGCCCACCGCTGGCTCGTGTGTGTGTGTCTGTGGGGGGGGGGGTGTCCTTTACCTCGGGGGAGGAGAGTGTGGGAGAGCTTTCAGAGCGATGGGATGAGGAGGAGGAAGTCGGCAGAGGAGCGCGGGGCCAAACAGGGGTTACTTACTCGATTCCTGAGGCCTGGGAGGTGGCGAGCTCGGGTCTCCGGCGCCGCGAGGAAGCCCGGCCTGGGGCTCCCGGTGCTACTGCGGCGGGCGGGGGCCGCTCAGTAGTGGGCGCCTCTGATGGCCTTCCGAAATGAGAGGTGCCCAGAGAGAAAACAGTACCAAACAATCTCGAAATAAATCAGGTAACACATGCTATATACGTGTGTCTCTTCCTTTCCCTTCTCTCCTGCTCCAGAACGTCGCTCACGCGCGGGGTGACTCGATGTCGTTTTCTCCTTGCTGCTCCAGTCTCAGCTTCTAATCCGAATTGGAAGCGGGTAGCTGCGAGCGATCACCCTGGAAATATTTTCGTTTTGCTTGTTGACAATGGAGGGAAAATAAGGGTGGGCGTCTTATTTCTTTCCGGGTTTTTTTTTTTTTTTTTTTTTTTTAAGCTTTCCTATTTTCACTCCTTCTTTTTTTCTTTCCGTTTCTCAAATGCTTTTATATTGTGCGGGCCTCATTCCTGAAATAACAGTATACTGAAGCCAGCGCTTGCCCACCCTGAGTGCTGCTGGAAAGCACCAGGGAGTCTTGGGAACGTCGATCCCGCAGTCTCAGCTTCTTGGGCTTTGGAACTGGGAAGGTTCGGTTGAAGGTTGAAGTGAATGGGGAAATTGCGAATCGGGGGCTTTAAAAGGATCCCGTGGCCAGGGGCAGGGCTAAGGCCCAGCATTTCCCAGGGATTGGAATTTAGTGGGGAGCACATTGATCAAAGGCTGTTTCATCCCACTTGGGCACGAACCATACCACATTTTACGGAGGATGTAGCCCCAGAGAAGAGGGAGGTGGAGAAGAAGCATAAATGAAAAGCACTTTTCCCTTCCTCTGTAAGGTAAATAATTATCAAACGTAAGCATTTCTTCACTTTGATAAATTCTCAGTTAAGATATCTGGCAGATTTGGTATTTAAGCAAACGAAGGAAGGAAAATTGGTGCTTATGCTTGATATTAAAGTTAAATTGTAACATAAAGAATGCAATTGATGAATGCTTAGGATAATAGGGGGTTATTCCGTCCTCCCCACCCCCAGTCTTGAGAAAGAGAGAGAGAGAGAGAAGGCGGGGGAGGAAACTTTGGAGAGAATAATAGATAATTACAAATAGCTAGTGAATTTTAAATATACATCTATTAGGAGTGCCACAAAGGGGCTTTGAATATTGGTCTAACCTCAAATGTCCTTCCATTGTATGTATGTATCTTTTCCTATGCCTACATATCTTCTCACTTTAAAACAAACTGTATTTACATGTGGAAAAATTCAAGGTTTCCAACAATCAGTGCTAATAGTGACATGGCCCCAAACATTGATTTCCACCCTCTGGATTTCTCGCAGAGTCGGGTGAGCTAATGGGCTTTGCCTGCCGGCTGGAGAGATCTGTGGGCCTTCCCCTTCCTGCTCATTTTTCCTCCTCCCACTCTACTCCCCTCCTCAGGCCCGTTCTTCCTACTTTTCCTCAACTCTCCTTCCTCCCTCCTCCCCTCCTTCTCCCTCCTTCCCCCTTAACTCCCCCCACCCCTTCCCCCCTCCCTCCATTCCTCTCTCCATTCCTCCACCTACTCCTCCCAATTTCTCCCCCTATAGCCCCCCTTCTCACCACCACTTATAATGGCACACAGGGCTCCCTCTGAGGTGGACGGCCCGGTACGTTTTCGTAGTCGGTCTAGCGTGAAATGATTCGGTGTAACCGGATTCTTGGGAAAGGACAGGTTACGTAAACATTTACTGATGTGGAGTAACTATACTATTTGTACTCTGATATGCAGGAAGGAAAGTGTTGATTAACACAGAAGAAAAAAAAACGAAATTAGCTGATTGCATGCTCATAAGTGCAAGCTGTCATTGAACTGCTTTTAAAATAGACACAGCTGGGTGTTTGTGTTGAAAAATTTCTTGTGTTTTTGCTAATACTGAAATAAGCATGATTTTGTATACCAAACATTTTCAGATCATTAAAATTTGTAATCTGTGCTGGTTTTAAACACAAAGAAAAGAAACAGAATCATTTCGATGTAAAATTTGCTGATATTATATTAACTCAATCAGGTCTGTACAAATTGTGCATTGTGCCTCCTAAAATCTGTTTGATCAATTTAATACACAAAGTGCCAAACGTGGGTATTGTTTGTTAACATTGGACATTTTATTCAAATCCGAGCTCAGCAGCAAACTGGAGGAGCATTCCTTCAATACAACACCAACTCTGACTGATGAATTTTTAATGTTTTAAGGTGTTTCTTAGGTCAAAGCTGAGCGTGCATTGTTTTGTAATCCTTATAGAATTTTAGCAGGTGAAAATAAGTTTTTCTTCTGTTTACTTTCAAATAGCAAAAACTGGGGTTTGCTAATGAGCACTGTAATAATCTGATTTTACATACCAGGAGCTCATATTAACTGGGAAAATGTTTTGCATTCAAATTAAGAATGTGTTATATAGTGTAAGGATTGCATGAATACAAGTCTCTCAAAAAAGGATATTATTATAGGAATAAATAGTACATGGTTTAATATTTTAAAATTTGTTCTTTCTAATGACAAATTTGTAATCTGGCAAGAAGTGAGTTTTAATTCCTTTTAATAATTTCAATTGCACTTTATGTTGAGATAGGGTGATAAATATATATGTATATATACACATATGTGTATATCTATATATGTATATATAGCTTATTCAACAAAACATGCACTGTTTACTCAGCAGCCCCTGTTTACCTTTTTAAAAGAACTGCTACTAGCTGACATGGAGGGGGAGGGGGGTCCTGGACATAGTATTGTGCAAGTTGAAAGTCTCTGGATGTATATCCTACCTGTCAATTTGGGTGCAAATTGGATTTGAAGGCCTGCCTCTGTCCAACTTGGGCCTCTTCCCAAAGCACTTGAAACCAGCCCCCTTCTGTCCCTGTGATTACCTTCAGAAGACAGAGGGAATCAGTTGTCTGAGACCTGAAACAAATTCTTTATCATTCTAATTTTTTTTCTCATGATCAATCTAATCTTGATCCCTCACACAGGCATCTACAAATGTGTATGTGTAGTATTAATGAATAAAAACAGAAGTCAGAGTAAATGTAATTTTCTGGTATATGTCACAGTAAACTTCTCTTGCTCTGTCTGCAGTCCCCCATCTCCCCCAAAGAGGTCAGGCCCTGTAAAGAGTGAGCAGCTCCAAGGGAAGAATTGCTTAGGAAATGAATTAGATTATTCCTTCTGGAGTTTTAATTAATAACCAAGGCTCCACAGCATACTTCATTTGAGTAGGGAGCAGAACATTTCATTTTTCCTTTTGGCGGTGTCATTTAAGTCTTCCTTAGGGCCTGTTTCCCATTTTTGGTCAGTGATTTGCCTCTTTTCTTCTTGCTACCTGCTGGTTAAAGGAGGGTGGGCCCCACTTACCCAAAATCCACCCTGCTGTCCACTCCCTGGACAGGGTGTCCTTGGAGTGGCACCCAGCACCAAACTCTAGCTAAAGCTCTCTTCCTGCAGATGCACAGAGAATTTCTGACCTTGTGACGTTTGGGAGTGAGGGGATCCTATGCAGAGGCATCAAGGTATTTCCAGAGATCCTGTGGTAAGCAAGGTCTGCCCTCTCTGGAGCCAACTCGTCTGTAATATCTTCCTAACAGCAGGTAATGGTGCTAACATTTAGTGATTAGAAGTTACTCTTTAGCGTGTTGTATCCTTGTTCCGTGGGTTTTGGTTACAGGTTATACGATTAGGTTTGCGAGAACAGTAGTGAACTAAACTTCTCAGTAAGAGGTCTTCACACCAGGGAAGTGTTACTTTCCTGCAGCAGCCCTGCCTCATCACTCATTAGGGAGCTGCAGGTTGTCAGCGGCTGCTCTCAGCGCGCGCGCACCCTCAACGTCCCCGGGGGCGCGCACATTTTCAAGTGTGTGTACACACACACTCACACACACACAGCACTAAAACTAAATTAAGAAGCCGATGATTAAGACAAGCGTCTACTAGGCCTGTCATTTCAGCATCCTTCCATCATAACATTGTGGCACCGGCAATTTTGCTTGAGAACTTCGAGTAAAAAATATCTATGGGAGAGCCTCGTATATGAGAGTGGAAATGTTTAGCTTGTATAAGCTAGGGAGCCACTTCAAAAGCGAGAAAGTCCAAGGTGAAG